CATATCCATCTCCTCTCCCCACCTTCCCATACGTGAAGTCCTAGTTCCAAGGGGTTAACAGGGCACGCAGCTTGCAGTCGCTAACAGTCCCTGTTAGAAGTGCTGGCATTAACAGGACCGCAAGCCTTCCTGACAGAGCAGCACAGAACGAGGCCAGCGATCTCCCTGCGTAGGCTCCACATCCCTGCAATTGGATCTGCTGAACTGCAGGGAGAGCACGCGGCTTTCCCCAGAAGGCGAGTGTCAGCTTGTGGGAGGGATGGAGTCAGGCCAGGGAGAGAAGGAGCTTGCTTAGCTCTTCGGGGACCGTGGGCAATGCCTGGGGAAAACCCCCCCACCCGAGAGCGCACTGCACACGTGCACAGGCATTTACCAGGAGACAGTCCCAGAGCCCCGTCCCCGCAGGGCCCACCGCCTCCCATTCCCGAAGGCCTCCCATTACACCGATAGCTTGCTCCTGCTGGGGGAAGCGAGATGAAGTCCATGCCCCAGGGCCCTTCAAAACCACTCCAGGAGAAGTGCTGCCTTACAGGGCAACCGAGCAAGGGGGTGAGACCCTGAGCCTCCCAACACCATGCAGCCCTCAGGCTGCAGCTCCAGAACAACACCCACCCTGCATGTCTTGCACATCTGGGAGCAGGAGCAGATCCTGGAGGGCCTGTGATGGCCGTGCTGAGGGGCACATGGTACTATGCACACACCGAGTTTCCAGGGGTGCCAGGGCAGTCGCAGCAGAGATGGTCACAGGGGTCAAGGTGAGCAGGTAGATTAAGTGGTGCAGCGGGTCGTGGCACCAAGTGGCAACGTCTCACCCAGGAGCACGGCGCCCTTCGCTCTGCAAGTGGCAAAAGCACGATCACGAGGAGGGAGACAGTTACAGCATGCTCAAGCTACACCGCTCCCCCTCCAGCAATCACTCATCTGCCTCTTGGAAGACGAGCGCGCCGGGCACCACTAAGGAAAGCCTTCTGACAGGTGTGGCTGGACACTTACTGGAGAGCGATGAAAGGCACTGGGAACACTTGAAACGCATCAGACAGTCTCACACTGCAAGGCCATGGCTCTTGAGCAGAGCTACTTGACGCCACAATGCGATAAATATTAAAGCAAAGAAATGCAAAGTTTTGACAAAATGACAACAATCAAACCCCGACAAGGGACAGGACAAGTGCATCCATGGCTGGAATGCAGCGTTGAGGCCAAACATTCAGGAGGGTGAAAAGCGCGTCTGACAGCATGAACAGCTGGAGAAAAGGAGAAGATAAAGGGAATGACATCTCAGATGCGAGACCTCAAGAAACACAAATTACAAATGCCACCGGAAACATGCCACTGATTGATGCGGGACCCACTCAAGGGAACCTGGAGTCACCAGAAGAGGAGAAAATGACTGGTGATAAGAGAACAGCAAGTGCTGGCTCACAGACGTGGGGGACATTCATTAGTCAGGCTGCAGAAAGCACAGTTAGCAACTGCAGG